TGTAATTCCAAGGTTTTATGGTTGATCAAAGAGCAGATTTTGAGAGAAAATTTAAGAGAGGCTCTTTGAACATTGATTTTGAGGGATTTGATTTTGTAATGACTTTATAAAAGCTATGCAATGTTAGGATTATTTTGAAGAAACTTTGATTTTTGAGAAATAAAAAAAGATTTATACTTGTGAGATATATATAATAGATCTATTAGTAAAATTTTGTGGTTCTAGGTTTATAGTTGAATTGAATGTGTGTCATAAGTTAGACATTGATAAAACAATTCATTTAAAAGTTATTGAAATTCAAATAGATTGAAATCTTAAAAATTAGAATTTGAAGAATTAGTAAAGATTTCTAAGATTTATAGCAATCTATTAGTTGGATTGAGATTTGGTTTTGAATAATAGTATCAAACTTAAATTCTAATAATTTTGCAAAATTTAAAAGAAATTGGATGGTAGAATCAAATGATATTAGTATTAGGAAATTGGCATGAAGATTAAAAAAAAAGGCTATTGAATATCGAAGAAAATTATGAGGTTTTCTTCTATTTGATAAGTTCAATCTTCTTTAAGTTAATTTTTCTTATTTTTAACTAAATAATCAAGAAGTGCACAAATTTTGAATTAAAGTAAATAATTAAATTATTTTTTATTAATATTTTTATATATAATAGAATTTAATGAAAGTTTGATTAAGATTACTTAGAATTTTGTTAGAATTTATTTAAGATTTTTTTAGAATTTATATAGGATTTAATTTAGATTTATTTAGGATTTACTTAGAATTTTTAATCGTAAATTTTTTTTGAGGTTTATTTATGATTTCTTTGTAATTTATTTAATAATTATTTATGATTTTTTTATGATTTTTAAAAATATATTTTTAATATTTCTTAAGAATTAATTAAAATTTAATTAAAATTATTAAGATTTAATTGAGATTTATTTAAGATTCTATTAGAATTATTAGAATCTTGTTATTATAATTTTTTATTTACCTCCCACAATAATGTGTTTGATGCATTTTCAAACAAGACTATATATAATACATTATTAGCATTGCCAAAGTAGTTGACAAAGATTGCTTTGTATCGCATACTTGTACCAAGAAATTGGCAATTGTATGAATTTGTTTAGATTAGAAGTTTGCACCTTGGCTTGTATTGTAGAATGATATAGTTTTTTGAATTGTTGGGCAGCAATTGAATTGGATTCTATACTTTTTTCTTGTTGGATAGATCGCAATGTAAGGATCTAGAATGGATAGATCGCAATGTAAGGATAAGTATTTTTATAACAACCTCTTTAAGGCTAAGTTGACTTAATGGTTGAGATTACAATGAGATTTTGTAGACAATTTATATTAATAATAACTTATTTTGCTTGCATTTATTGATAAAGATTTCTACCTTTGCTTGAGTTGCAAAACCACATACCTTATTGAGTAATTGGGCAGCTGCTAAATTGAATTTTCTACATTGCTCTTATTGGTGCAAGTAGCAATGTTATTGAACTAGTCTTCAAAGTTTGCTTTGCCTTACCTACTTCTTCCAAATAAAATGCAATTGTGTAAATCTGCTTAAACAAAGAATTTGCACCTTAGCTAAAGTTGCAAGTTACATGATTGTTTGAGTTATTGGGCACTTATTGAATTGAGTTCTATATGTTATTCATATTGATGCAATTAATAGCATTACCAAAGTAATCAATAAATATTACTTTTTCTTGCATTCTTCAATAATAACTTTACTTGCACGTATTTGTCAATGATAAATTGTACTTTAGCTTGAATTTTAGAATCATATGATATGTTGAGTTTTAAGATGGTAGATGCTAAACAAACTGCCATATTTTTGTATGAAATATCATAGCTTATTTTCATTGTCTAAAAATCTTTGTACTTCATAATAATACTTATTTTTTAAATGAGACTATTAAAAAATTAACCACATTATCAACCATCAACCATTAAAAGACTACTTCCTATCATCTACAAACATATATTCTTTCAAAAAATATCAATCAAATTTTAATTTAGATATTGAAAAAATCTGTGAAGGTTTAAAAATATTATTGTAGAGAGAGAATATTGCTTTACAATAGCACATGGCCTTTGGCAACAACTAATTGCCCTACCTTCTCTAAAATACTTTCAAAACAAATAACATGCAATAAAATCCAAATCTTATCTAAATTTCTTTATTCTTCAATTAATTAACATATCATATATTATCAATTCATACAAACAATATAAGAGAACAAAACCTTCTTTGGAAGCCCTTATATTCCCTTACAAAGAAAGTTGCTACCTTTTTAAAATCCTAAACTCTATCCTAGTTCTAAACTTTAAATCTTAAATTCTATTTCTAAACCTTAAATCCAAAACTTTAGTTTATTCAAATTTTTATTTATTTTTTTAAAAAATATAGATTTGAGGATTCCAAAGAATTGATACCATCAAACTTCAATCACTATCAATTTATAGCTCCTTCTCTTTCAAGAAAGCTATATACCAATCTTTTCACTTAAAAAGAGTATATACAAGACATGAGTGTCACATCTCATGTTAATATTAAGAGAGATTCTTTATTCCTTCTCATAGGCAACAAGTGACCTTATCATCTAATATAAACATCTAATACAAGCATTGTGGGGCCAATCTTTTGAATATTTTTAATAAATTAATTGGATATTTTTAGAAAATATTCATTTTTTTCCTTCTCTATGTGCTACTATGGAGATTCAAATCTAGGACCTCTTAAGTGCCACCTAAGCACCTTATCATCCATCCATTATCACAAACCTTAAGTTGCCACTTAATGTCCAATGCGTCAAATCTTCTCCCTACGAGCTTGCTACCTAATCTTTATATATATATATATATATATATATATCTCTATTTTTCACAAACTATAAAAATAAATTCTAAAAATTTTTATAAACTTATTTATAAATCTACTAAATAAAACTATTAATATATTTCATAGTTCTAAATCAATTTTTATATATTATAAGAAATTTTAATAAAATATTGTGATTGGAATCTCAAGCTCACTTTTTTTCTTTGGAGTTATTAAACTACTTACAAATGTTTTACAAAGGCTACATTTTTTTCCTTGGTATATGGAATAAAGCCATTCTATCTATAGAATTTGAAATTTCATCTTAATACATTATCATTGACAAAAGATTTAATACTTCTTAATCTTTAAAAGAAAAATTAAAGCATTTAGAAGGACTAAGTAAAACTCAAAGTTTTGCAGCTCAATATATAAAAACCACTTAAAGAGAAAAATAAATAAATGAATAAATAAATAAATTGATAAAGTAAGTAAATAAATATCTTCTTACTCTATGGATGTCGGTGATGGTCCAAGATGCTAATGCTAGAAAAGTAGAATTTCTAGCCAAGTTTGATGCACTTTTGATAAAACCTTATATTATTAAAAAAATCTTTGATAATAATTTAGTCCGATTTAAAACATTGGATGAAGAAGACTTTTCTATACAAACCAATAGATATTTTTGTAAGGAATATATGATGTAAATATTGATTATAATACTAATATATTGAGTCATTTTATAGTAGTTCTAAATCAAAATTATAGATTACTTTTATTTTAAATAAATTTTTAGACTCAAGACAAAAGTAATAAACATTATTAAGTAGTCTTTTCTTAAAGTCATGGTCGTCTTTAATGTGGCTTAATAAATTAAATGAAGTTTTTATAGATTTACAATCTTATAATTTTTGGTTTGAATTTCCATAGAATTATAGATGCTATCCAATATTAAGCTAGTAACTAAGCAAGAAATTGCTTCTTGTAGAGCCATATTAAATCAAATACAAACAATTGTTTATTTTTGTTTTTTAGGCCAAAGACTTTTTATTTTTATTTTTTCTTATATTTTGTTTCTTTGAATAGATTGTAATGTCAACTTTTGTAACTTCTTCTATTATTTTCTTTATAGACTCTATTAAAGGCAAAAATATAATTTTTTTTATTACTACAAATAATTCTAAATAGTTGCCATATGTAAGTTCTATCAATAGATTTTAATTGGTAGGACTATTAAAAATATAGTTTTAAATTATTTAAATACAAAACTATTAGGATTAGAGAGTCTTTTGAATATTTAAGTATTTATTAAAATTTAGATAGATTTATAAGTTACAAGAATCTTATTAAACAAAAAAATTATAAAAATAGAATCTTAATAAGTTTTGGAAGTAATTATCTTAATTGGAATAATATTTTTTTCTTATTTCTATATACCAATGTTTAATTATTTAGATTAATGTCTACATTGATTATTTATAAATAACCTGTAAATTTTAATTAGTAGTTTAAAAAGACATGAAAAAGAACATCATATCTTTTTAGTTATTTATATAAAAATTAAAATCTATTATTGATTTAAATTAATTTTATCATCATGTAAAATCACAAAGGTAGGATAAAATATCTTTAATTTGATATCAAAATTATATATATATATTTTTTAAAAATTTTATTCAAAATTGTTTAGGAATTTTTAGAGCAATTTTCAAGACTTTGATAAAAATGAGTCTTATTAATTCAAGAAGCTGTTATGAAGAAATGGAATAAGCTTTAAAAGCCATACAAAATTCTTAGACTTAAACAACCTTCTATTATTTGGAAAGTTATTCTAGTTCACAAGTGAATTAATTAAATAAGTTTAATAAGTTATAGTTCTTATTTAAATTCTAATTAAATCACTCTTCAATCTTATTAAAACACCTAAGTCCTTAAGCAACACTTCTATTATTAATTCACCTACAATAGCAAATTACTCACAAGTGAATGCCAAAGAAATTCCTTCTCTTAACACTTACTTTAATTTTTTGTTTGTTTATTTTATTTTCTTTTATTTTATTCAATTAAAATTCATCCGTTGACGAAAATCATCCAAGAATAAGCTATCATCCATAAATAACTTATCATCCATGATTAGAGTTCATCCATGCCAAATACTTCATCTTCGGTTTTAACATTCATCTAATTCATTAATTTTTTCATCCATACACATTTCATCCGATTTAACCTAATTCAAACCTATCCTGCGCTCATCTAGCTTCTAACCTCGTCCACAGTTAGAATTATCCAGTCTTACTTTTATGTAAGCATGCCTCTTGTGGTTGCTCCTAGCTTGAAATCTTTGTTACTTTCGATGCTTTCCTCTCGTAGTAGTCCGGCTCTGCAATAACGCAATCCCCTTGAGCCTATAAACCTCCAAGGATCCAACTAAACGCCTTGCCAGTATAGTATCAGGACCACTACTTCGTAGCTTTGATCCTCCCTTCATGCAAAGGTGACACATCCCAATATCGCAACAACGTGCGTGCGAGGAAGCGTTTGACAGCTCTAATTCCCTTGGAATTGAGCCTTATTGTGGCTCCGCTGGGAGCTCACCGAATCTTGGATAATCAGCTGCCCAATAATATCGAGTTGAAGAAGACAAGTCTCAACTGCACAAGCAGCCAAATGCAACCTCTAGATCTCAATGACGAGGCCACCACTATGTCCAGAATCCTTCATACTTCACCTAATGCCAAGGATTTCTTGTCTACATCGCAAGCACAACACTTGTACTAAAACTTCAATTTGCTCGGCAGCGCCGATACTGAAGGCTCCTCTGCGCTTCCACTAGGCTGCAAGAAGAAGGTTGTGAATGTTGATAAACAGTAACAGGATCTTCTCGTCAAATTCCACTATCGATGGAAATAAGTCGCAATCATGGATTGTCAACGCTTCTGATTATCCACTGATGGAAGAAACCACACTTTATCTCCAGCAGTCGTAACAACACCCTTACTGCTCACAAAACATAATGCCTTGCTTGCATCCGCGCTATTCATAATTAAAGATATTTCATCAAGCCCAATGGCTACTTTTAGCCAGAGTGATAGTCTTCTATTTGTCCTTGAAATTTTCACTCCTACCTGTGGATTACAATTCCCTCGCGAATGCAAGAGGCTAAACTCAAAGTCCAACCAAAACCAGAAACTTATTATTACAATGCTAACTGACTCCTACAAGTCTTCACAAGAAGAACGCCGAATGTCAAGAAGGGAACCAACAGGAAAACGACGAAACTAGATCACAGAACCAAGTCCACAACTAGAGATTAGAGGGAAGAAAATTGTTGCACGCAACTAGAGTTTGCCAATTGAAGAGAAGCTAGGAAAAACACAATAACACCGTTGTTTGCGACAGGAACCAAAGCGCGAAGGAACGGAGCACGGACTGTCAACAACCTCGCCAACGTCGAGCAGCACAACACCACCAATTTGAACAGTCGTTGGCACCACCGATAAAGCATAGTAGTACTTGTTTGCTGCTACCGAATGCTCTAGTAGTCTCAGTCATTGGCTGCAGCTTCGTTGACGACGACTTGAGTAAGATCAAGAAGATACACACAAAAAAAAAAAAAAAAAAGCAAAGAACGGCGTTGGGTACTTCTCCACACACCGTACAAGAGAATCCTCGCTCCAACCACAACAGCTTCTTTGCCACTCTAGAGCACCGTCGATTTCAGCATCGCAATGCAATCCACCACCACACCGCACAGCTCGTACACGGAAAAGACAACTGCCGACCGCGTCCGCCACTGCATTGTGACTAATTGAAACTCAACAATCAACACCACCTCGAACAACATTGTAGCTTCGCCGCACCGCCAACTTCAGCTTCCACCCTTCCACCACACATATTCTTCTTTGTCAGAAGAAAAAGGGAAAAAAAAAACAAAACAAAACAAAACAAAAAAAAAAACAACAACAACAACAACAACAACAAACCACACCTTGATCTCTCACCACAGCACCGCCATAATCGAACGCTTTACACAAAAAAATCAGAACTCAGAGAGAGACGAAGTCCAGGGTGGCCCGGATTCCTATCAACAAGGAGATTGCCGCCATTCAGGGACAGCCTCTTCCGCTTATCATCATCTTCTCCTCTCCTTCTGTTTGTTCTTTATCTTTTTCTCTTCTTCTTTTCCTTTTGTTTATTTATTTTTTATATTTTTATCTTTTCTTTTTTCTTCTCTTCTTCTTTTTTTTCTTTCTCTCTCCTTCTCTTCCATTTTTTTTCCCCTACTCTTTTGATTTGTTCCTTCTAACTTATAATATATATATATATATATATATATATTTTTCTTTTGAATTGATTTGAATCAATCATTCTTTCTTAGCTTCCTATCTTAATTAAGAATCCACAATAATAAGAGCTACTTCCATTGGACCATCATCTAATATTAACTAACTCAAAGAAAACTATTCATCTTTGAATTTTGTCTCAATAATTTCTACCTTAGGTTGCATATCTGCTACTTGCAATCTTTTTTCTATTTACCTAAGAATTCTTTTTCTAACTCACAAAATTTGTGATTTAAAGCACAATGAATTTTTTTTTTATATACTAAATACCTAAGGGAGACAATTCAGTGACTCACAATGGCAAAGCATTATATAAGCCTCCCTTGAATGGGTGCAAGGTAATTCCTTGCAATATAAATTTTATATTATTTTTTATTTATTTTTGGACACTCTAAGGTATTTTTTGTGTCTATACAATAGAATTTTGGTCAAGCTTGATAGTCAATTTTGGAGGTTGTTTTTAAGGACTGGCAATGAGCAGTACATTGTAATTCTAACACAATTTTTTAGTAAAACAATGGTCTAAATGTTTGATAGTAGACATAGTTGGTGCAATTTCTCTAAATGTTTGATATTGTATTGTTTCAATTCTCAACACCATATGGGTTGTAGTACCTTAGATGTAGGTAGGTTTTGGAATAAACAAAAACCACAAAAGAAAATAAATAGCCTGAGAGTCATCAAAATGTGATGATCTTTGGAATTGTCTAAAGTGGTTGTGGATACAGCGGAAAATTAAAAGCTAAGTCACCTAATTGGAAGAATGATGTGAAGAAAAGGAACTTACAAAATTGAGTAGAACACATTATTAATCAAAATCTAAAATTCTTGATTATAATAGTAATCTTAACTTTGAAATTATTTAAATCACATGATTAACGTAAATAAATAATAATAATAATAATAATAATAATACAAAACTAAAAGCAAAGAGCATTGATAACTATAAACTAAACGTTTAATAACACCATCACCAACAATACCATTAAAGCATCAAAGTGCACATGCAAGTAGGAAGCAAAAGCGAGAGGAAAGAAAATAAAGAAGGAAAAAAAAACAAAACAAAACAAAACAAATCAAAAAACAAACAAACAGAAATTTAGTCTGCACCACTGCCAGTAATGCTTTGATAAGTAAAACATTCTTTAGTTATATTGTTTGATTTGGAGCAAGTTGCAGAATGGGGAGCTTGCTTTGCCACTGTTTGCAAGTAGTGCAGAACACCCACAACGCCATAAGCTCCTATTTTCGGTCCCCATGTTTTGAAACCTTGCAGCTGTGTTTCTCATCAGAATAGAACTTCTAAGGCACCTCCTATCTCCCCTAAAAAACAACCCATGAGCCTGCAAAGCATCCTGAAGTTGGTGGGAGTCAGTTCGTTTCTAATCTCAAAGTCGTTCGGAGCGTTCCTCCAAGAGATTGTTCCTCCAAGCGGAACATCTTGTGTGCTCAATCTCTCCGAGCCGGTCAATGTCAACTGTGTTTTGTACAGTATCTATAGGACGATTACTATAATGTCAGAGTCCGTAAGTCGACGCGCGTGTGCGGCAAATCTGCAGTGGGCGCATCGGAACCTGCGATGGCAGAAGAAAGGGCAGCAAACGCGTCCCGAAACGAGGTGCATTGGAGTCATCGCGTACCTCCAAGAGGAGTTCGTGATGTATGCGTTACGCGGCGAGTACGCAGCGCTTTTCACCAAAGTTGCCCTCCCGCCTCCATCGCTGTCTAGTTTCATTGAGAGATTCGCATTGTCAGCTCCGCCAAGATGAATTGGTGCATCGTTTGTTAAACAGATTAATTTCATTATTCACGCCTTCCAGCGCCATGGAGAACTTCCGTGACCCCTGACCGTATTATTATCTCGGCTTCCTTGATGAGGTGAGCTCGATGATGAAAACGGGTTTAGAATACTTGCGATTTAGGTTTTTCAACTAGTCAGGAGATATTGTTTCCAAGCGGATGATTCTCGGTGCTGATGGTGTTGGTGTGCACATAAGTTGCAGTTATTTATCCCGGGAGTCAAGAGGGAACCCAAGTTCATCGAGAATGAAATGAAAGCCAAGCCATCCGGCTCAGCTACGACGAAGTAACCGGAGAAGCCTATGGAAGTTAAATCGAAGACACAAACCATTGAGCTGAACATAAAATTGTGCTGCGGCAACTGTGTGCAGAACGTGAGAAAGGCTCTCGACGATGTCAAAGGTCTGTCCTCCTCACTAATTTCCCTCCGGAATTTCACACGCTGGCCATTGCGCTCGTTCTTTCTGCTTCGAGGATTCGGTTCTCTGCCAGGTCTGCACTTTTTGGTATGTTGACAGGGTTGCGGTTGCTGATTCAGGGGCGGAGAAGGTGGGTTGCGAACAGGGTTGCGAGAAGGTGGGTTGCGAACAAGGTGTATGTAACGTGCAGCGCGCAGCCGGAAATCATTTGAAGAAACTGCAAAAGGTGGACAGGCGCGCCACTCTTGTGAAGAAGAAGCAACAAAACTGAAACCACAACCATAGCCATCATCTTCCATCACACTCTACACGGTCCCACACAAGTTCTCAAAGGCTTTTGGCTATGTAGCCTTGGCAGCTATCTTCCAACATGCAACAGACCTCACTTGCCGACCGAAAACGAGCTCCGCTCAACCATGCAGGGCTTCGTTTCGCAGGGGGGGGGACGGGGGGCAAGAGAAGATCCGCCCGCTGTCAACTTGCCTCCCCAAGTCGTGGCGATCTCCTGCACTTCTAAGGCCGCATTCTCCTCCGAAAAATACACCGTGTGATAACTAAAACAGCGCAGACTCATGAGAAGCTCTCCGGTGACGGCAGTTAAGCCTCACGACGCCTCACTGTACGGACATCCTGTATGCTATATCTCTATATATTTATGTTTATATATATATATATATATAGGAATAGCGAGTGAGAGATAGATGTAGATACTCCGACACGCATCAGCTGCGATGGATTCCTCCAGAGCGTGGAGACACCAGTGAGAATGTCGACTGTGGAGCATTGGAGCTGCTGCCGGGTGACGGAAGATCGTCTTCAATGACTCCACCGCCAAATTCCGCGTCTAGAATTGCTATTTCCTGACGGTATGAAACCCGCAATCACACACCCTCATGGCCGTTCCCCGCATCGTCGCCACCCCCCCACAGTAGAAGAAGAGCCTGTGCTTCAGTTGACTCCAACTGTATAGTGACAACGTTGACAGCTTTATCAAAGAAGTTCTACCGATAGGGAACATGAAGGAATTTAAGAGCTTGAGAGTTCCAACGGAAGAGACTCTCATGAATTACCAGCACAGTAGTTTAATAAAAGCAAGATTAAGAATGCAAATATGAGGTAGGGGATAACTTAACTTAATGCTTAATTGGATAGAATCGATTACTTTTGAGGAAAAGAAGTAATGTTATCCTTAGTGTTAATAATTAATAAAGATATTATTAAGAAGATATATTACAAAGAAATGAGAATGTAATAGACTAATATAAAAGAAGAAAAGGAAGAATAAAATTTAGTGTAAAAAATCAATTTATAGAAACAAGTATAAATAAGGTTAGAAAAGATAGAAAAGTGTGAAAAGGCAAAGGAATTAGCCGCCCATGTGTTTAAAAGACAAAGTGGTTAAAACCACCTTTGATAGTTATAGATAGTTAGAAATAAATTAAAATGTGATTTACTATGTTTAATTAATATTAGAAAAAACTCACTATAAAGAAGCTATAAATAGCTTCATAGCTATGTTATTATTATCAAAAAGAACATAATAAAGAGATAAAATTGACATGCTTGCATATCATTTTATACACTTTTGGTCTAATATTGTATTTAAGAGTTGTAAGATGTAATGAAGAATTGAAGATTAGGTTAAAAAAGACAGACAAAATGAAATTGATGAAGATATAGATGTACAAAGACTGTATTAAAGTAGACAAAGACAAAGATGAAGATAATGAAGATATAGATGTGTAAAAAATAGATTGAAGAAAACAAGATAATATTAATAGATAAAATTGATAGATAAATTGAAGATAGTTTTAAGGTTGAATTGTTTAACCATAACAAAACCAAGAACTGTGGAGATTTTAGATAAGTACAGAGATAATTCCTATGTGGAAACATAGAAGGAATACTTGAGATTCTTGAGGTATAAGAATTTAGGTGTTTAGTAATTTGTCTTTAAATTTTTGGATCCCAATTTTCTATGATTTATAATTTTTATATATATATATATATATATATATATATAATCTTTGTAAAAAATTCTTTGATAGATGAATATATTTAGGTCTTTTTTATTTTTTATTTTTTTATTTTTTTATTAAATTAATTTTTATGCTCTTTTTATAATTTCTTTTTTATGTAAAGGTAATAATTATCATGTAAATTTGGTTGATATATATATATATATTTGTGTATTTAAATATTAAATTTAGAATTTTTAAATTTAAATTCTACTTTTTTGATAGTCTAAAAATATTAAAAATAATAGAATTTTTATATTAATATTCTATTTTTATATTTACACCATCTTAAATTTTAGCTTATTAAAGCTTTTATTGTCCTTTTTTTTTACCAATCTTTTCAATTATTAGATCATGTCATGTCTTAGACTATATTACTTACCTACCTGGGCTACAAAAATCCTAAATTACAAAAATAAAAATATAGATCTAATTTGAAATTAAAAATTAAAAAATATGGAAACATCTATATAATCTAAGTTTTTTACTACACCATTGGAATATCAAATATTAAAATAATAAAGTAAGATAACTCAACACTAAAAGAAAAATTTGTTAAAATATTTTAACATATTTTTATAATATTAAATCATAAAAACTAAATCTCATATAAAAAATAGACCTTTGAATAACTTGATTTTTTTGTAATATAAACACATACTATTCCAAACTAGATATTCTATGTATAATGCAAAAGAAGCCATTTCAAATTAATTATTTTGTGTTCAAAATATAAATAAGTCAAAAATAATAAAAAATAGCTTTATAAAAATAATAATCTTAAAAATATTAATATGTTATTTTAAATATCTAATAATTACTAAAATAAAAACATATTCAAATTTATAAGTAAACTATTAGAAATAAAAATATTAAATATAAAAGATAAGTCAATTTAAGACTTTAAAATAAATATGCCAAATTGATTTAAGGAATTAGTATATTTTAAACTCTAAATCTTTAATTCAAATAAATTATAATAAAAAAATTTATGTATAAATTTTACATTACTACTAGAACTTCTTTGATAATCTTTGAGATTCTTCGACTTGTTAATCATAGTTATAGCCAATAAAATCCAGTGATTATAGAAGATTTAGGTCCTTCTTTAATTTGGAAACATGCCTAACATCATCCAATGCCTTTATAGTTCTATGAAACATTTTAATGCACACAGTAAAGATTTCTACAATTTTAAATGACTAGTTATTTCTCATAAGCACAATCCCACTATTGTATGAAGCATAAATAAGGGCGAGTTTTTTGGCAATCCATATGGTATAAGCAACCAAAGTCAAGAATCCATCCATCTTAAAATCCATCATTTTTAGTAGTTATAATAAAGAAATTTTCAATTTTTTTATCAAAATCAAAAACTCTTACTTATTCAAAAGACTAACCTTTGTTTATATTTTATATTTTATTTTATTTTTATTTTTTTCTTCTTATACATCCTTTCATGATGTGCCAACTTTTTCCATTTAAAACAAATAATCTTGAATTTATTAAACTTAGATTTAGATTTTGATGTAAATTTACCTCTACTCTATTCTTTGTGCATGGTCCTATTTCTTTAAATAAAAGACATGTGATTGTGATGCTTTACAACTAGGTATCTTGTTTTCATCTTGTTAAATAAGAAAGTTGTTATAACTTCTTCTAATTCAATAGTATCTCTTCCATAGATAAGAATAGTGATTAGATGTTCAAACAAAAGAAGCAATAAAGTAATTAGCAATAAAGTTCTATCTTTTCTTTTATTTAGTAGATTTAATATATTGGTATTTTTTTTTATTTGCAAAATACACAATTGCTTCTTTAGGTACAATTATTTTTGTGAAGAACTTGATTATGGAAAAAAATTCTAATTTTGTCTATAACTTAGGTCCTGAGCTCTAGTTCATATCATTGTACAATGCCTTATCTACAAAACCTATGCAAATTGTGCTCACAACTCCCAAATTCATCTCCTCCCGTTCTTTATTAATCTTTTCTAAAGTTTTCTTCTGTAATATCATATACAATCTTTGTTGCACATGCAATTCTATCACCTTTCATAATCCTTGTTGCAGAATCAATTATTTCACCTTCACATGTCACAAAGATTTGATACTACTTGATGAAACTAATTACAAATATGCATTCAATCGAGAAGACACAGAATAAGAAGTTTGATTTTGTCAAGAGTCTTCAAATATTGCACAACACCTTTGTAGGATCATATGTATAGAACTGCTGAAGTGATCACAACTAGAGGCCTGACCAAGTTTTAAATAGTTTGTGGAATTACAATTATTCATCATAGTTGGAGTTGCCGATCAACATTGCAAGAATCAAGAGATCCGTAATGCTCTTTCTAGTTGTGGAAGTGGTGCTGATGCTGGTGACCTAAGCTACCGTCAGGAGTTCCAATGACGGTGATGAGCAGAAGGGACATGAGAGCAAGAAGGCTGAGCCAGCAATGACAACACCAAAAAATAGAACTCTTGACTTAATTCTACACATATCCGATTCAATCTTTTTATTTTTTGCACTCACTGCAACACATAATATAAGATATTGTATTAACAATGGCAAGGGCAACTCAAATAGAAAGTATAAGTCACAAAAGCAATCTTCTAAGTATGCTCAATTATGTCGTAGATTGTTAAATTTCTGTCGACAATTGATACTAACAACATTTTCTCTCTTTTTCAGATTTTTCTTTAAGATAGCATCCATGACAATTACTCACTAAGTACCTGACTGTTGAAATCATCAATTTCAAGAAATTAAATTTGTCATGATTTGATACAACTAGCAATCAACTTGCAAAACATGGGAATTGGTCCAACCTAGAACAATCTGTTGTATGACATATCAAGCATACATGGAAGGAATCCATCAAGTTCTAATTGTGCCGCATCAAAATTCCTAGAACAACTAAGATTTCTTGATGAAAGGGCTACTTGACAAGCTCCATGTTTGTTACGGGGCAATAAAGCGGCAACCAACAACTTGATTAAAAGCTTTCTATTCCTTGAAGGTTGACTAATAGGTAGGATTGTAATCTATGCAGTGACAATCGTCTTCTTTGTTACTAGCATTGGCAATCCATCGACAATAAAACTACCACAACTCGGTATCTAGATATCATATTGTCTGGACTAGGCACAAAAACGTTATATAATTAAAGACATCACTGTGTACCATTTAGGTCTTAGAAAGTGTAAGTATTTTTGGTAGTATTGCATCCTACAATCTTGACACTTGATGGAAAGCAATTTAATCATGCAAGAGAAAAAAAACAACTCTTTGGCAAGCACAGAAAAAGTAGATCAGACAATAGTAACAATGAGTGAAGAATTTTTTACTATACAAGTGATCTGAATGTGCTAAAGAAATGCCTTGGTGTATTCTAAAGGTTGAGGTAATCGTTATTGCCATGAACTTAAATCCACCACTAAGTTTTGTAGATTCTAATCACATTAACAAAAGCAAGCGTTAGCAAAGCAAAAATCATTACAACGGAGATCAGATTCAAGGCTGACAATCGAGCTTGATAATGAGCTCATCATCAATTGATTTTGGTCTTAAATTCCACTGTTAATGTCTCCCTAATTCATGTTGCTTCCAAAACTCTTCAAGTTCATGATTCCTTAGTTGCCATCAAGGTGCTGAAGCTCAATTAATATTAGTCAATAACGACCTCTTTGAGCCTATCGGTGATTTCACAATTCTTGAAGTTGTCCGAGCTGTTGATGACCTCAACGTATTGGTGAATATTCAGTAGTTCTTTCAGTTTGCAGTGAATAACAGGGAGCAAAGAATTGTAGTTGGAAAAATCTCCACTAAATTTAATTTGACTAGTTTATAAGGATTTTAAACTACAAAAAGATTGCATGTTGTATCCAAGATTGTAAAATAGCACCAAAGAAGTTGGTAATCTACATTTCAAGTGCACCACAAGGTTTATCTTGGCAGCAAAAAAATTAAAAAATTAAAACAATTAAAAATTATAATCAACTTATAAAGTAACAAATATATATATATATATATATATATATGTCTTTATGAAGATGAGAGAATTTAGCTATATTTTATTGGAGTCAAATTATACAATGTAGAAAGTTTTCAATACTTTAGTTATTAAAAAATACTATTATTTTTGAATATTTCTTATGCAATAAGGTCTTGTTTTCTTGTTTATTTTCTTTTTTTATTAATATTTATTTAATTCATTTTTCATGAAGATCGTGTTTTTATTTATTTATTTATTTATTATAGTTTTAATTTTATTTTCTAAATCTAAAATACAATATGGAAATTGGATTATCATTTTATCAAATAGATTTCTTCTTATTCTTTTTAAAATTATCATTTTCTACAAACTATTTATTTTTCTACTCCTTATATATATAACATTAAAAAAATATATATTAAAATTTTAAATGAAATAAAATTTATAACATACAAATAAATATAAATATATATATATATATATATATAGATAGATAGATAGATAGATAATTAGATTATTACTTAGAAATGAATTTCTAATTTCAAACAATTTCATAATAGCTTCTAACAAAATAATTTATCATTTTCTATGTTTAATTTTATTTATTAAAAATTATTATTAATTATTATTAATTTTATGATTAAAAATGATTGGAGATATAAACCTCCATATTCAAGGTAGTCAAAGATGAGTGGTTCCCCAATTTATTTGGCAATGATGTCAAGCTTGAGCACCAACTAATATCTAAGGTAGTCAAAGATGAGAGGTTGCCCAATTCATTTGGCAATGATGTCAAGCTTGAGCACCTCCTCATATTTAAGGTAGTCAAAGATGTGAGGTTGCCCAATTCATTTGGCAATGATGTCAACCTTGAGCACCTCTCCAAATTTAAGGTAGTCAAAGATGAGTGGTTCCCCAATTCATTTGGTAATGATGTCAAGCTTAAGCACCAACTAATATTTAAGGTAGTCAAAGATGTGAGGTTGCCCAATTCATTTGGCAATGATGTCAGGCTTGAGCACCCCTTCATATTTAAGGAAGTCAAAGATGTGAGGTTGCCCAATTCATTTGGCAATGATGTCAAGCTTTGGCAATTTTCAATATTAAGATCTTTTAAAGAAATAAGACTTCCTATTGATGTTGGTAATAATTTTAACCTTTCACAATATTGTAAGTTAAGTATCTTTAAAGAAGTCATATACTCCAATTCATTTGGTAGCATAGTTAAGTTTGAGCATTCTCCTAAGTCAAGTTCTAATAATGTGGTAATTTTATAAAATAAATTTGGAAGTGTTTCTATAAAAGAACAATTTCTCAATTGCAACACATTTAAACTCCCAAATTTTTTCCAAACATCTTTGTCATGTAGCATTTGCAATGCTTTATGTGCTTCTTCTTTTTTAAATTTATATTCCAATGGTATGTTAAGTAGAAAACATCTCAAATTAAGAGAATTCTTTACCAACACAAAAAATATGGTTAATATCTTTATCACAATTTTAGGTGCAAAGACACCAATATTACAACTTAAAAATTGAAGTGATGAAAAAGAAGCACTTCTTATTTTGCCAATATTATTGTTAATTATGTTGTTGTAAAATAATCCCTCCAACTGTAAATCAACATAATTAAGTACACAAAATATTAGAATTTTCATATTAATCATACACTTAATATACATACAAATCTAATTACAATAGAAGATTATTTTTTTTACACAATAATTTTACATCAACATACATCTAAAGAAACAAAATAAAAATTACATAATATAAAAACTGAAAATTCTATTCTTTAAATGTTGATTCATTTATATTATTATCAATTTTCTACATGTAATTTATATAATAATTTAGTAAAATTACCTTGTTTGATAATCCATAAAATGGATCTATATTCAAGTTCCACATTCTTGTATATTTATACTCCATTTCTTCTTCAACAATATTCCTACCCATGTCTCGTAGTTGATCATGTACTCTTATAATTCCATCTTTGTCTAATTTTATCAATGATTGATAAATCAATGCATTTAAAGTAAATTCTATTTCATGTTCTAATATGTTTTTTTGATTATTGATCCATATTCGCAAAGCTCTTCCTTTTGACATGCCTTGTGGACAAACATCATTACAAAAGAAACAACATATGTCCAAAAACATTTTCTTTTCTTCTACTTTCAAATTGTCAAAGCTTACTCTTAATATCTTCCAAATCTTGTAGTTACTATTGTTTTCATCTCCATCCAACTTTCTTCCCCTTTTCAACTTTTGTAAAGCTCGCTCCCAACATCTCAACCTTTTCTTCTCTCTTAAAAATGCTCCCATAACTTTTAGACTCAATGGTAGGCCATTACAAGCTCTTACAATTCTTTTGCCAACCTCAATGAGTTCAATAGGTAGACTTTCTTGGCCACATGAATGAGTAATAAACATCTTCATACTTGTTTCTTCATCAAGTTCTTCAATATTTATTTTATGAATCTCTTTGCCACAATCCTTCATTACATTTGAATCTCGAGTTGTTGCAATCAATGTGCTACCAATGCTAGCAAATATGTCATCCATAGGCACAACATCTTCAATTTGACTTTGATTCTTTATATTGTCAAACACCAAAATTATTTTGTTCTTAGTTAAAAATGATTTTAATATTTTATGAGCTTCTTTTACATCTTTTGGTTTTTCTTTGACTTGAAATTGTTCTAAGATATTGCAAGAAGTTGTATAGCAATCACCTCCACTTTCAATGCACTCAACAAAGCATGAGGCATTATACATGTTTTTTACATTAATCAATGTAGTCTTTGCTATTGTGGTCTTGCCTATTCCACCCATTCCGACAAGATACAATACCTTCACTTTATTTGCACATAGTTTTCTAATTTGGGATAAATATTGTGCTCTACCAAATATTTCCTCTCCAGATGATTCAACCTACAATTAACAAATTTAACCACAAATTAACAAAAAAAATAAGAATGATACATATATTACATTTTAATTTAGTCTTACTAACTTGAGTTCATACAAAGGCATGTAAACACCATTAATTTAAAGAAGAGTGAGAAAAAAACTATAAATAATAATTAATACATTTAATCAAAGACATATTTACTTTGGTTTCTAGTATAAGTCTTACCAATGGCAATCCATTATGTATTAGCTGAAATCTTTTGCTTTGATGACAATTCTTATTTGATTCTCCAAAATATGGTGCATTTGCCACTTCAATTCCAACTAAAAACTTTTTCTTTATTAAGTCCAATCTTTTACAAATATTTGCAAACTTTGGCCGATGCAAAGGATTCAACATCCAACACTCTTGGATAAGCTCAATCAACTCATTACAATTTGAAGGTAACTTTGGTCTTTCACCTTTTTCAATTCTTTCTAATATTGCTTCCATCTTATAAACACCATCAAATGGGTCTCTTTTTGAAAGAATCTTAGAGCATACTATTGCAAATGAATAAACATCTGCTTCAAAAGGACACATTGTTGTTGTTTCAAACTTGCTTTTCAATACCTCAGGGGCCATATATGCAACAGTACCATAAGGTACTTCATTCTTTGTGGTTTCTGGATTACTTCCAACTTCAATCTTAGATATTCCAAAATCTATCACTTTCACAATAGCATGTTGAATAACCTTATTCATAACTTTTATCTCTATGACATTAACCAAAATGTTTTGAGGTTTTAAATCACGATGTGCAATGTGCATGTCATGCAAGTAACACATCCCTTTTGCAATTTGATATATAATATCAATAAGAAAAACATAAGATGTTTGCTTTGTATTTTCCAACATGTCATTTAAATTTGTTTGCATCAATTCCATGCCAATATACAAATAGTCTTTTTTAACTACTAACTCAAAAGATTCACCACTTTCATTTGCATGACCTTTCATTGCAAAATAATATGTTATCAAGTTGGGGTGGCATAAATTGGCTAAAATGGTCACTTCTCTTTTAAAAAACTTGTTAAATGCAACATCCATCTTTTTGATTGCACATAAAACTCCCAACCACTTTGATTCATAAACCGCTCCAAAACTTCCTTCACTTATTCTATTTATGAATTGAAGACTCTCTATGTTAGATGATAGATTTAAATCATCCAATTCCTCATCATCTATATAAAGTAAATCTTCTAATCTCTTTAATAGATGCTTTGCTAGTCCACAATATTCAAAATCATCTATTCCATTTGCATGAATCAACCTCTCATGTACAACTTTAACATCACCTTCTACTTCTTCATATGTTGCAACATTAAAAGTAGCAAATGAGATGTCTTCAAGTTTTTTAGAATAATTCTTTAAAAGTATATCACTTGCTATATCACAACAACATTTCAAATCCAAAAGTAATTCTCTAAAAGTCTCTTTGTTATTTAATTGAAGGATAGCTTCTTTACACCAATTTGGTTTCCCACAATTTTCAACTAAAAAATAAGATTTAGTTAGTATAAAAAACAACTCACTCATTAAAAGCCTAAACTCCAATCCACCATTGGTGCAAGTCATTAGGTGGTCAAAAACCTTAGTAACATGTCCAATTTTCTTACACAAATGTGCACATTGGTTTTTATTCAATAAGTTATTTTTGTTTAATAAAACCTCAAATGCTCCAATATAAACTTCAGATCCTTCCCAAGTATCTCCAAAAATACCTTGCATACTTGATATTTTGTCATGTTTTTCTATGGTGCTTGAAAATCTTGACATGAAAAAACCATATAAAAAGCTCCAAATCATGATTATATGATGCTTGAATAATTCCAAAAGATATTCCATGATGAATTAATGAAAATCAGATCCAATTTCACCTTCTCACCACCTGTTGAAAATTATATGTTAGATTTGTTTGGTATTTCAAAAGTACTTATCAAACACTCTTTCAACCATATTATCCCACAAACCATACAATTTTCTATCCTAAAAATTGAATTTATATTTCTAAAGCTAAACCATCAATCTTAAATAATCCTAATCACTCTTTCAACCATATTATCCCACAAACCATACAATTTTCTATCCTACAAATTGAATTTATATTTCTAAAGCTAAACCATCAATCTTAAATAATCCTAATGGCTTGTCCTCACAATATTCAAAATGTTGATATATATGTTCACTTGCTTAATTGAATTATTTAAGATTGATGGTTTAGCTTTAGAAATATAAATTCAATTTGTAGGATAGAAAATTAAATGTAATACGAGTTGGCGTACCCATTCCAAATGCAAATGATGCGTTTCTTACTAGTTGCTTACTAGTTGCTTGTTGTCATTTAACCCAACTTATAAAGGGTACTTGAAGAGAATGCACAAGGGATTGAGGTAATTAGAAAACCATTCAAACACTATTTTTCAACCCAATGAATTATGAGGCCTGTAAGGCTTGAAATTTCAGGATGTAAATGGTTTAACCGTCACCTAAGTTGATTTTCTCCTATTATTCCAAACAAACTACATAGTTGTTTCGATCAATATGGGGAGGAAGGTGCACCAATTGAATTGGATATCAAGCACGATAAGCAATTCTTGTTGAACTGAGCTCCTACCTCATAAAGGATTAAGATTCAATATCACCAGCTCAGAATATAGATCGTTATGAAGCCTGTATCTTGTATCTGGGCAGGCTTCGAGTCGCTTGCTGTTGCGGATTCTTCAAAATTAATCTGTTGCTAAGGCGGAGGATTGATAACAGTCATGGGCATCACCACGTTGTCCGATAAACGTGCCTGCATCCTGACATAGTGCATACCAGTGCAAACAGCAATGGACGGTACACGGTTCGCATGGACAGTTCTGCAGCAATGGCACATTATACAAATCAGCCACTAGCCGTGTTTATGTCATACTCAGTTCTTTGACAACGGGATATACTACCTGGAAATTGTGCATATACTACCCATCCCCCAAAGCATTAGGATGGTAAAATACGTGTCATGGATTCATCATAAACAATCGATTTACACACAGAACTAAAAACAAGATTGTATGAAAATAATTGACCTGGAGGTGGTATCTCCTTTGTAACTCTTGCCGAAATAAGCCTGCGTATATGCCACACATCCACCACGCAAAGAACAAGGCTTCTGCTATGAGAAAGGCAGCCTGGGGATCTATTCCATGACTGCACAGTCATCCAGAACGTAAATTAACACAACTTTTGGCCGCTATGTAGAGCACAAAGAAGGGCGGAAATTCATATTACATTCCAAACAGTCTGAAAACCATGCATGTGATTGGATATCGAATTCTGAAAAATATTCTCCGTTTCAAACATACAGCTATAGGCATGTACTTGACAAACATACAGTTAACCACAGCAACGAAAGTGACACGGTACAGATCGATAGACCCTCGTTCCCGATAAAAAAAAAAAGGAACATTCGCAAAAAATTAAAAAAAATTGCATGCAGACCCTCCTAACTAGAAACGAATTGCTGATGAGATAACAGATCAGCCTACGGTAACTTAAGTTTGAACTGGACCTAAGAATATGAATTTGCAAAGTTGGACCTAAGAATTGGGAACAATCAAAATTGAGAAGCATGCGGCACACCAACCCGGGGCTGCAAAGAGATCCCCAGAACGCCATGAAATCAGGCAAGTGGAGGAGTGTAAAGGAGTTAACAGACGATGGATATGAGATGGAATGAGAAAGCAGATTTGGATGGGAATTGTGAGATCCGGATTGCCGCACTGGAGGAGGGAGCACTGTGCAGAAACAAAGATCGAAAGAGCAAGAGAAGAAAGGTGAGAAGAGCAAACATACATACCTGGGAGGGAGGGAGGCAGGCAGGCAGAGAAACGGAAGGCGAGGGAAGGGGCGGGTTCCAGTGCAAGTGGCGTGGTGGTGGAGATGGCAGTGATGCGTTAGATTGCAGGCATGGGGAAGGAAGGGCGTGGCGAGAGTCACGAGAGGAATGAAGACGAAGGAAGATGAGGAGGGCGGGGGAAAGGCAAAGGAGCGGAGGAGGACGAAGGCAGAGCAGAGTAGGGTTAGGGTTGCGGAGGAGAGGGGCATCTCGGAAGCCGTCAACGCCACAAGACCCTGTGAGGCTCAGCCGGTGATTCCACCCCCATTCACACCTGTGAGAAGCATTCGGCACACCAATCCAATATGCATGTCTTTCTATAATCATATTAATATTCTTCATCATTCTAGTATCTTTATTGCATTATGAGCATAAAACAAAACACTATGTGCTTTCTACAAATCTTGAAGATTTAGAAATTTCCACATTGTTCATGAAGTTATTACATATAATAGTATATACATATCTAATATAAGGCTCCAATGCATATAGTATTCTTTCATTGTCTAAAAGGATCAAACACCACATTATTTGTCTAACTTGGTTTTGAATTTTTGAATCGAAATCTTAAAAATTTATGGATTTTGAATAGTCTAATTGTTTTTATAAAAGAATGTTGATGAAAACAGTCCTTTCTAGCGTTTTTTTAAGTTAGTATTATGAAAACAAATGAAAATAGAAGTACAAATGTTTAGATTTTTACTTTTAATATTTAAATATAATTTTTTAATATTTTGTGATATATATATATATATATATATATATATTTATTTATTTTTTCTCTCTTTAAGTTTATATAAATACTTTTAATTGTCTAAAAAAAGTATTTATATAAACTATAATTTAAATAGAAAATATTTCCTATTCAAAAATTTCAAATCTATATAATTTTTTATTTTTGAGTTTAAGTTAAATAAATAAATAGCATATTTTTTTATATATTTTTATACTTTTTTGTAAGATAATCTTAAACTACATTACAAATAATAATTATTAGCTCTTTAAAAACCTTCTTGAGTACATAAATTTAAAAATTTATGTTTTTCCTAAAAAAAATTGTTTAAAGGTCTTTGCTATAAAAGAATATAATATGTATCAATCTTATCTTTATTTGTATCAACTTGTGTGTTAAATATTTGTAGGTCATTTGATTTGCAAGAAAATTATATTATAATATTATATTTTTATTATAAATTTTTAAATTAAAAAATATCATAGTATCAAAAAAAATAAAAAAAACAAAACAAAACAAAAACAACAACGACAACAATGACAATAATAACAATTATAATAATAGTCTTAAAGTAATATTTAAGGTATGTAGAATATTGGCAAAACAAACTATGAGAATAAATAGTTACATTATTTTTTTTTAGAATGACAAAAAATACTTTTTTTGGAATTAATAACAAGAAATCACAAAATAAAATTGAATACAATCATGTAAAATAAAATAACTATGATGTGGTTTATATAAATCCTAGTCAAATAATATTTGTTCTCCTCTATCATAAGTATTTATTTTTATCTTTTATTTTTATTTTTTTAATTAATTATTCTTTTTCTCACCTAATTAAAATCTAAAATAAAATGCTTAATCTTTAGATTTCTTTTAATCTTTATTTTAAATTTAATTTAATGTTATATTTTTTTGTTAATTTTCTATAAGTAAAGTTTAATTATTTGGTACTAAATTTGTTGTTAGAAGGCTATGGATTTGCTTTATTTTGTCTTATAATATTTAGATTTTTTTAAGTATAAGCTTGTTAAAGCAAGTTTTTTTTTATAAGCTTAAAATTATTGCATTTGGAATTGGAATAAATTTCTTACAATAGTTCAAGTGAAGAATAGTCCATTCTTTCAATAATTTAAATCATCCAATTTCTTTTAAAAAAATCTAAATACTCAATTAAAAAATTCATATAAAATTTAATAGTCTTTAAGTTTTTCAAGTTGGATTTGTAATAAATTAAGAATAATCAAATTTGAAGCAATATAGAGATAAAAATAGGTATTGGAATATAAAAGGTCTCTAAATTAGCATATGATTTAATGCAAGAATATATATATATATATATATATATATATATATATAATTTTTTTTCCATAATTATATTACCGCCTTATATGCATTCTACATTTTAGTTTTAGAACTAATAAAATAAAGACCTTATATATATATATATATATATCTTTAGGGAGTTGTTTCTTGCTGCATCCTAATGTTGTTAATGCCACACTTCTCTTTGCCATCTCATAATAGATTTAGTCTATTCCTTGTCCTTATCAATATCTCCAATTCTTTTATTCCTAATCCTTGCCCTTATTTTTTGTCCTAATTTCTTGGCTTGAAACTCCCACCCTCTCTTTATTCTCTGTTTTTTTTTTTTTTTTTTTTTTTTATCTCTTATCTCTTGTTCTTTGTTTCTAGTTCTATGTTCCCTATTCTTTATTTTCACCTTAGAATAGACATTGTGAATGGAAACAGGGAGGTATTGAAAGAGAGTGGAGAGGGAATGGAGGTAGTTTGGAATGGTTTATTGTGTTGATATTATTTTTTTTGGTTTTTTTAATACTAAAAAATATAAATAATATGGTGCCACCTTTAAATATTTTGTGATTTTTTTATATAAGTTTCATTCCATTCTAAAAAATATTTGAATTTCTAACAATAAAACTAAGAAACAATCTTAGTGAATAATACATATATATATATATATATATATATATATATATATGTGTGTGTGTGTGTGTGTGTGTTTCTGTAATTTTAGAGCAATATTTATATAAATTGTGAAATTTCTAATTGATACTAGATTCTACTAAAAATATATAATGTGAATTTTTAAAGAAATTTTCTATTATAATTTAAAAAATAAATTTAATCATTACTTTCCATTTAAAGCTTAATCCATGTACAAAAGCTTTTACATAATTGAATACATTATTAAAGACATAGTGATCTTTTGATAATATCAATACTACTTTAAGTGAAAGTAAATTAGAAATAAAAAACCTTCGTGGTTTTTTTGCATACTAAAATAAAAAAGAATTTATTTATTACAAGATGAGAAATAAGATAAAGTAATAGAAATTTAAATCTAAATTTTTTTATTATCTAAAGTTGATGCAATCGAAGTTGGTAAATGAATACACATATATAAATTAATAAATCTTATTTACTACTAATAATCTTTAAATTTTGTAATATTTTATTATTATCTGCACTAAATAGCTTAAAATAAAGAAGATAATTGAAACCAATAAAAAATAAGTTGATATTATTTTATATTTTTAAAAATATATAATATTAATTTAATAAATATTTCAACATGTTGTATAGGAGATGATTAAAATAAAGAAAAAATGAAGGCATTTAATGATTATAGAGTATTATTCTTGTTAAAAAATAAAAATAAATAAATAATTTTATAAAAAATAATTTTGATAAAAAAATAAGTAAATAAATCTTTTAAAAAAAATTGTTTTTTTCTTCCAACTTCATGTGAATATTAATATAGGTAAACACCATTCTAAAGTAATAAACAAAAGTATCTTTGAATTTTTATAGCTTGTGATATAAATTATTTCTATTCCATTTCTACTATTAAAAATATCTATGTAATAGGATATCAATAAGATATTCGTATTATTGACATATAGAAATAGGTAATTGGAGCCATATTTTGAAAGTTTCTAAAATCGGAGTTAGATTGGTGATCTTTGTAGGATCCACCATAGAACATTCTAGAAAGAGCTTACGGTGATTATCTTGGTAGGACCTATCATTAAGAATATTCTAGGAAGTTCTAAGATACTTACACAAAGTATAAATAGGATTGATGAAGGCTATTTGGGTATTGGTCAAGTATGGCTTTGGTCCCATCCTCTTAGTAAAGTTTGGTTTTGCATTTTTTTGTTCAATTTTATTTAAACTTTTTTTGCTTTGTTTTTGCTTTCAAAATGTGCAAAAAATAAACAAGTAGCTTTATCTTCTTTATCACAATGACAAATAAAATGGTGATTAATTCCTTGTAAAGTTTTCATAAGACATATAATAGGTGATTGTTCAACTATTGCAATGCAATGTAATTTTTGTTGCTCATTGTAAATAGTTTGAATAATGACTTTGCTATTAGTATCACTCTTACATAAGGCAACAATAACATTTTTTGGTGGGATCCTTGTAGCTAGCAATCATAAAGTTAGTATTTTTTTGACTAGTTGCAAATGGCGAGTAAATAGATGGCCTAATAGAGAAGAAGTAGCTCTATGGTTATGAAAAGTATTTTGAAGAATCAAATGTCATTGAGTACTATTACGCAAATGACAAAGATGCAATGGAAATGAACATCCTATCAAACAACTTGTACTATTTTGTTTATAAGTATGACAATTGTGATGACAATAAATATCTCCTTTGTCACACTTATAATCAATGCAATCTTCGTTAGAGTATTATTTGTATATGCCATAGCCTTGATTGTGTATAAATGCATCAATACTACATTTCATTTCTTCTATGCTCTCAAAATATCCTTCTTGTGGTGCATACATATATCCCTCACTTTCCATTGCAAAATACAATAAAATTATAAAATATATAATTTCCTCTCTTCTATCCATTACACACAATCTACAAAAGAGTATATACTAGAATCACATGTAAAAGTAAATTAAGTACATACATACTTATATGGCAAGTAGGAGAAGACCAATAGAGAGATGTTATTACTAGCCATTGGGAACTGTTAAGAACCATTGGAAATTATATCCAAAATGATGATTTTGTTTATCCAAATGTAGATTATTTTCTTAATGATTAAGAAGATTTGTACTACCTATGTGCAAAATTGTGATAATGGATGGGTTGCTTTAGTAAAAATTTGGGATGCTTTATCATTTCCTTACATATATATATATATTTATATATATATACATAGTATGAATTATAAAACCTCATATGGCTTCATGAGCACCCAATAGACTCGACAGCCCAAGGACTCGACAAATTCTGCCTCGAAACTGGCCTTCAGCTTTCAGAATCAGAAGGAGCACACAACGCCGCCCACCTCCAACGCTTCCATTGCTAGAAACGGAGCTCCGCGCGTTCTCGCGGACTAACGGTGTAACTAATACCTCCCTCAATCCTGCATGTCTTTCATTGTTTCCATGGCCACCGTAGTAATTGGATTGCTCACACTGCTACCTTGGCTTCATCTACCAGGCACCCACTTCGCCCTTTCTTCCTTTGCTTCTCACCAACCCACTATTTGCTTTTCCCTTGCGACGATGGATTGCATAGCGAAAGGACACTTTGGAATTGCTGAAGTCTGTGCGGTTCTGGATGTGCGTGGGAATCTTCGGTCAACATGAATATGGAACTGAATATCTGTGAAGAGAGTGAGTAAGAAAAAATTGGATCGGAAGCTTGGATAGAGTTTTTTTTTTTTTTTTTTTTTTTTTTTTTTTCTTGTGGATTGTAGAGGAAGGTCGCCATGGCAGGTGTGTTGCGGCAACGATTAGGAGCATTCGAAAGAGGGTTTGATCCATCGTCCTTGCGGTGTCCCGTGTACCCGCCTTTCGGCATGGGCAAGCGGTTCATGGGTGGACATGGAGTTGATGATGCTGGTAATAGTTTTGGTTGCTTTCTTCCTCAAACTCCAATTTCTTGTTCCGGTAACTGTGGTTTAAAAAGAAAGGGTGTTATGAACTCGTTTGTCAGAGCTACCTTCGTAGCTGTACGTTTTAGGATTTTTCCAAGGGAAAAGTTCTAGCAGTCAAGAGTTTCTTTCAACAGAACTTAGTTGTTCTTTCCACGTTTCATGTAACCTGAAGATTTTTGGATTCGTGACGTTGCGGCTATCACCTAGCGCAGGCTTCAGCTTTGAGTGCTGATTGATGTGATATTATGGACAGAGGAGACATTCCAATGGAGGAACATCACAATTGCAGCTGTAATGGGATGTATGGGGACGGTTTTCAATACATTCTCTGGTGAAGAGCACCACCATCCTGAAGATAGACCGGTACAGGCAACAACATTTATTTTGCCTGACGATTTTACATCATCATTCAGATTATTATGACATCTTAATGATTGTACATTGTAATCATATCCTTCTTTAATTCACGTTCTATTTGGTACAGGCATACTCCTACTTGCGCATTCGCAACAAAGCATTTCCCTGGGGTACGTCTTTCATTCTGCTGACCCAGCTTATGTGGTTGATGGAAGCGTCTGTAAAATGCAAGAACGGTTTGAATGCAATGGGTTTCTACGCAAAGTCATAACACATGACGGCAAGATCCGTGCAGGGCCCAACGGATTATTCGAGTCGGATGATTGAGGATTAAGTCTACAAGCCTCCCCAACAAACTGCACCCAAATATCCAACCAACATGCTCCATGTAGCTGTATTCGCTGATGAGATTCACCAAGTTCATCAACCAATATTCACTAACATTCACTGCTCGTCTTCCTATGGGAAATATAGTTGTCAACTGAGCGGGATTTCCAGGCATGCAGTATGCTTGCCATTAGTGCACGGAAACAGCAATGGTCCATTAAACTCAAGTATCTCAAATGATGAGAATTAATAAGAGGAATGATTCACTCGCATCTATGTCTTCGAATTCAGAGAAGATATAGACACCTGGAGTGGCGATGGATGTCATAATCCAGGAGTGTAACGAACCATCCTAGTTGTAGCTGCTTAGCATCTCACAAATGCAGTAACTAACAAAATACATTCAGAACTACGATAATGGAAGAAAAAGAAATATGAATTTTCTTTTGCGTCTAATTTTATTTGTATTTGTTTTACTCTTACAAACCTTTTAAGAAAATTTATTGGACTCTAAATAATTTCTTCCTTGACAAATATTACTTTTCAAGTCAAGACACTTAGTTCAAGTAGATTATGGCTCAAATACTATGCAAAATAATTACGTGCCAAAACTAATTGGACTATATGGCCATCAAGAAAATTTTGCATAAGATTTCAAATGTGAGATTAATGATCTAATTTGCACTGGCAAAAAATAACTAATCTGCAATACGGAATACACTAGCATTCACTGTCCTCGTCTATTTATTATTCATCAAGAGCGTAATGGTCAATATTCACAATTGAACATACAATACCAACACATTCAATCCACACCCATGAGTAAAGAAACAAAAATTAGGTGCACGTTAATTGGAAACATGACTATATCTTGATCCTTTCAGAACTTGAAGCAATTAAAGAATAAAGTTTTACTGAAACTCAATTCCGTAATCAATTTGTGGAAGCAGCGATTCTAAATTCGAGTTCCAAAGACACGAGCACGTTGAAATAGTCATGAAAAATATATGCATGTCATCGTTGTATTAACATTTAAAGCAGTTATTCACATTCCAATGTCAATTTAAAGTTTGAACACAATTCATAACAAATCTTTCGAACTGTCAAAAGCCCGTTGGGCGTTCGGAGGTTAATGCGTAGCAGTTTACCTCAATTTGGTTTCTCTACTCACGCCAGAAATTTCTTCAAATCATACACTAAACAGAACCATCAAGTGATATGGAACAATTAAATAATTGTACTTGGGTGGGTGGCTCTTATTGAGGGGAGGCGATCAACCTCAAGATCTTGCCAGAGTACTTGAAAGAATTCTCTGTCTCCTTTAGGCAATTGTTCTTCTCATCTCGTGTCCACTCCTGGAACAACACAAACAAAATAAAAAAGAATTACAAAAAATGAAAAAAACAGAAAAAAAGATGGACACAACAACGTTATTTCTGTGAGCACATGGTCCAACCACTAGGCCACTTTGCCACGAGCTCTACGTAATAAATAATGCATCAGCTTAAAATTGTGAAAATTGTGTACTCCTTGCGGTCATAGCTTCCACCGAAATAATGCATTGGGGTTGTCTAACCTCTGCAACTTTGTTCAAGTTTTCCTTCACTGCACCCAAGAGCTGAGAGAGCTCCCCATCCCATTTGTAAAATTCCAACTCCCTACCATCCAAGATCATCTCTGCAACCTGCACACACAAGTTGCTCAATTTTCAGTATTTTCTGAAACGAATCCCGATGGTCGATTTCAGGTCAAGCAATGGTTAGCTGAGCTACGACAATGGTCAAACGAAGGAACTTGAAAAGTTGAGTTCGATTTAGTGAATTGTTCCTAAATCTCGTCACACACCATGTTGAATTGATGATCTAGCAACTTGTTTCTAGCAAGAGAGCAAGATCTATCAATCAAAGGATCAATGACTCTACACATCTTCTGAAGAAATCGTTCAGTTTCATTAACATTAACGATAGGACGTCCTGAGCGAATGACCAAGATTCGCTGCAATACCAATGCACGCACACACACACCTTCTTTCCGATAAATTTACCGCCAGCTGAATGAGCAAAGTAAACATTGTAGAAGTGGCAGATGAAGGCAGGAACATCGGTCTCAGACAGTTCAGTCAGATACTTAGCATATGTGGTTCCATCGACCCCAGCTTTTGGAATTGCATGACCTTGGCTTGCAAACCACTCTAGGTCCTTAGCCAACCTCTCTGATCGCTCAAGCCCAGTATTCCTAAACAGCTCATCTGCAGGCATGCAATAATTCTTTTGAGTCAAATATTCACACGTAAGGTATTTATGCAGTCAAAATACTAGTATCTGCAGCCAAAAAATTATTTTGTGATAATGGTGTGGAGAATGTGCTCACACGAAGGATGAGCGGCCTTCTGCACAATTGTCTCCATGGTGTCGTAAACCTCCTTGCTGTCCACTAGAAATTTCAAGTATCCTTCTATTGTGGGCTGCCACTGGCCTATCGGCTGCACATCAGCCTCCTTCTCCCCCTCCTTTGATTGATCCTTCGTGTGCAACTTCATGGCCACAAAGCGCATTTCCTCCACAAATCCCTTCTTCTCGCCCGGATACCGAGCCTTCGCTTTTTCAGCGGCAGCAGAGCTGGCTCTTATCGAGAAAGAGCTCGTGGATGTGTTAGGAGCCTCAACTCCAAACCCTAAAACCCTCCCAAAATAATTCGAGCTTCGATGATCTGCTTTTTGGGATATCCTAGTCCGAAAATGAGCTGAAGCAGAAGCTTTGCTCGGCCCAGTCTGAACCGAGCTCTTCTCTCGTGCAGTTGCAGCTGCAGCAGCAACAGGCGTTGCAGCACTCTTCAAACTCAGCCCGAGCTCGCCCACCGCCATGGCCATCATTCAAATAACAACACCTATTTGAGACACCGCCAAACGCCCACAAAATCAATCAATAAATAAAAATAACAATAAAAAACTGCCAAATCCTTGAAAACCACGAGTCTCCTCTCGCTCTCGCTCTCACCCTCTGCGGCTCTCGAGACAATTCATCAATTAAAGCGATGGTTATTGCCGGCCCCTACGATCGAATCAAGACAAGCCGAACTAAGCACAATACAGACATGAAAAACAAACAAACAAACAAACAAACAAAACTTCAATAACAAAAAGAAGAGGGAGAGAGAGAGAGAGAGAGAGAGAGAGAGAGATTCTAGAAAGACACTACGTAAAACCAAACCACTGCACACCGCAAAGCACCTGGATTCACACTCACACTCCCACGGAATCGGTTCTGCCACCAAACTACCATGAAACACACCACTCACCAATTCAAGTCGCCCAGAATCTTTACTCCAAAACCTACAGCAGGACACGACAAGCGCGCCTCCGAAACGAAACCTGCAACCAGCACGAAGCTCTCGTCGCGCCACGAACACCAACTACACCACAATTGCTACCCCCACAAACAGCAACACAGCAAGCCCACCCAGCAAAACGAAATCCGCTTCCACACACAATACAATTAGCTGGTTAGGGCTCCGTGGAACACCGATATGAGAAATCAAGCCAAGGCTGCAATGCGGTAAGGGTGGCGTGATTCCCTCTCTCTTTGTGTGTCTGTGAGTATGCATGTGTGAGGGTGTGTATATTTTACAATATTTTCGCTTAAGGCAGGCATGGGGATGGAGGTGGGGAGGTAGGGTGTTGGCACACTGGCCATCCTGCGTCTAGATTTAGATCACGAGAGGTGTTGGATAAGCTTACGTAGACATGCACGCTTCCTTCCATCTTCCGGCACACGCTGGAGGATGGTGGGTGCCTTCCTTTCTTCCTTCTCTCATCCAGCCCCCCAATCCCCACAACAGAGCAGGATCAGAGCCAGTTTAGCCCATTTGCAGGGGGGTGGGGAGGATACAATTCCAAGGTTCCATTTTTTACTCATCTTCCTTCCACCGCGCCGCGCACTACCTTACTTCTAAGCCATGCTTTCTGTTTTTTTTTCCATTGCCGTGTCGGAGCCACCACTGCGAATCCAGAGCGTCAGATTTGCGTCATGGCTCTCATTGGTTTCTTCATTACGACAATCGGCGTTGCGATTTCGTCGATTCTTCAAGCGGGTCGCTAAAGTGGCGTGACACTGCGACTACAACCACCCGCCCACAATCCCTCCCGGATTTCGCCGTTCTTCTCACTGTTTTTGCAAAACGAAAAAACACCCACTTCCACAATGCTTGTTGTGATTGATACCCATATTTCAAATTTTCTTTTTCTTTTTTAATTAATTTTGGTGTTTTTGCTTGCGCTTTGAATGGTGGAGTCAAAGTCGTGAGAGTGCTTTATCAGCTTGCCATGTCAAACAAAGAAGTACATGATAGAGCCCACTGTTTTGGCGATGGCTTTTGCGCTGCCAGATTCCCAACTCCTTATCGCATGACTCCGCAACTGTTTCCGAATCTCTCTCTCTTTCTTAAAAGACTCACTCTCCGCTTTCGATCATCCCACTGATTGTCCGTTTCTTTTCTCTACTTGTGGGTAAAATTTCCACTCTTTTACACAACACAAGCATAAAAATATTAATAAGAATAATAACAAACTTACAACAAGCTCGTGAAATTCATGAAGATGGGAGCCTCTTCCCAGTAGCCGCAACTCCCAGCATGCAGAGTGCAGACCGACGTCCTTGAAAAGGAGGAAAACTGACAAACATGGTTCACTATGTTCGTGAGAGTTGTGTAACACACCCCACAAACAAAGCGTCACCGTTGGAGAAAGATAGAGATGTATAGATGTATGCAAGGATTTAAAAAATTACAAAATTCTGCCTTTTTATTTTATTTTTAATGTTGACATTTGGAATGAGTTCTTTTTGAAGATGATTGCATATTACAACATCTAATTATCCAACTTAATGACTACATATTTTTTTAAATGGGTATTTGTTAGAAGACTTGGTTCAAGTTTGGACATGCATAATTACAACCAAGAAGATATGAACATGAAGTTTGAGAACATAATTTACAAAGATCTAAATACTAGAACATTTGTTAATTTGGTACCATTGTAGAAACATATTTATCAATCATGTTAGTTTAGAAACATAGTTTATAGTTTATACATCTTATGCTTAATTTTTATAAATATTTTTTTATTTTTTAAATAATGAATACTAAAAATATTAACCTTTATTTTTTAAACTATAAATATATATATATATATATATATATATATATATAGATCAAATTGTATTGTACTTATGTTCTTGATCAACAATTTATTTAGAATTTAGAAAATACAAAAACTAATGACTTCATACAAAAAATAGGTATTAGCATGCAACATAGTGTGGTAGTAATTCAATTATTTGCTATTTGAGTTTGTATTAATAGTAATATAGAAAATAATACCTACTTAGTGATAACCATTAGATTATCCATTTCTAACTTGTTAGTTTATATAAGATGTGCTATTAGATGGATATTCAAGAATAAATATTATCACAAGTGAATTATATTAAAAAATTGGATTATAGTAGGATTGAACCAACACCTTATACAATAAAAATAGTTGATCAACAAAAAATAACCTTAATAGGAATTATCAAAGATTTACAATTATAAGTAGTAAAATTAACTTATAATATTTCAATAACAGTTCTAGATATGGAAAAAAGAAAAAAGAAAAATAAAAAAATCAAAGCTATTCCATGTTATTAGATCGACCATAGCTTAAATAAGCAAGTTCTAAACAAGATTGGATTAACAATACTTTAAAAAATAGAAAAAAGAAAATAATCTCATAAAAATATCCATATCTTCTACCATAAAAATATCTTATACATTTGGAATGCTATAATTAATGGAGGATTGATTAATGAAGAAGAACAAATTATTTATTAAGCCATATATTTGTTATATCTTGTAATTGATATTGAATTATCTAGATTAAAAGAGATATTTAGTTGTGATTATAACTTGATAGAAATGATATTTCAAATAATACCAAAATTAATGGAAAAATAAGAAAAATTCATAAATCAAACAATTAATAAGAAAATTGATAAAATATCCTAATCATTTCTATAAATCAAGAATAGAAGCAAGAGAATTAAATACAACTTTGGCAAAAATAGCAATTAAGGAAAAATATATCACTGGTTGGACCATCACTGAAAAAGACTAAGTAAATGAAAGAAATTTGGAAACTAAAGCTCAACCAAACACAATGAAGCTCAACCAAGAATAAAAAAGAAAATGATCACGGATATGAAAAAAATTAATAAAATTTTTAAAAGAATATGAAGATACTTTTGGATGGAATTATGAAGACTTAAAAGATGTGCTTGCTCATATTTGTGACCAAAGAATTGAACCTGAAGTTAATGCTTGACCAATTAAACAAGCTAGAATCCAACTTATGCTACTAAAATAAAAGAAGAAATTAATAAATTACTTAAGATAAGATTTATTTATCCCATAAAACAAATAAAATGGTTATCTTCAATACTTATGGTTTCTAAAAAGAATGAAAGATCTCGAATTTATACTAAATGTAGAAAACTTAATGGACTTACAAAAACAAATCCTTTTCTATTACCTTTTATTAATATAATACTTCAAATAATATCTAGACACAAATTTTATTCTATATTAGATGGATTTAGTGGTTATAATCAAATTCCAATGGCTATTAAAGATTAGCATAAAATTTATTTTATTATATAATAGAGACCATTTGCATATTAAGTAATGTCTTGTAGATTAAAAAATATGCTTGCTATATTTGAAAGAGAAATTATGCATATCTTTGCAAAAATTTTGAATTATTTTATGCAAGTTTTTTTTGATGATTTTAGCATATATAGACCTCAAGTTAAACATTTAGAGAATTTACAAAAATATCTTAAGAAATGTTGAAAATATGGAATTAATCTTAATAAAAAAAAATATACCTTTGTAGTTACTTCAAGTATATTATTGGATTATATTGTTTGTAAAGAAGGATTACTTTTGGATCCAACAAAGATACAAGCTATAGTTACTTTACTACCACCAAAGAATCTTAAAAGAATGGAAGAATTTATAGATTCTACTAGTTATCACCAAAGATTTGTATATAATTTTGCAAATATATCACAACCTCTCATAAATTTAACAAAATCTAGTATCAAATTTTTATGGGCTATTGAATGTCAAAAAACTTTTGAGGTTTTAAAAAAAAATTAATAGCAATTCCAATTTTAATCACATTACATTAGAATAAAACCTTTCATGTAAATTATGATGCTTCAAATGAAGTAATTGATAGTATTTTAACCTAAAATATTACTAATAAACTAGATTCACTAATTTTACTATGCAATTCAATTATTAAATCAAGTTGAAAGAAAATATAATATCACACACAGAGAATTATTGAAAATTATTTATTTAGTTCAAATTTTTTGATACTATTTATTGGCAAATCATCGTATATTTTATGTTGATAATCAAGTATTATTTTATTTAATTAGTAGATCAATAATTTTAGGCCATATAACAAGATAGATGTTATTATTACAAAAACATGATTTTGAAATTGTTTATAAACTAAGACATCAATATGTGATAGTAGATCATTTGTCCAAAATAACCATCAAAGAAGCACCTATGAGTATAGTAGATATTTTTCAAATATAAGTTTATTTATGGTCTAAGTTAATCCAAAACAAATATAACAATTATAAAATTAATACATTAATATAAAAAGACTTGAAGATCAAGCTATACACCAATTTTAAACTAAAGTTAGTAATTAAAGAAGAAGAAATTATTATTGGAATATCTATATCAACTTTTGAGTTGGTGGCCAATTGACATCAATGTGGTGTTTTGGATATTTTCTTATAATTTATAAATTAGATTAGATTGAATTTTTTTTGAACATCTATAAGACTTATAGTGGCATTTGTATGCAAAATTTTGCACTAAGTGGATAGTCATATTAGGAGTTATAGCTTGCTAAAGCTCCCTAATTAGAATTAGAGCTTAAAAAGAAATATCAAAATTACCTATTTATAAAAGTAATTAGGCAATTAGAATTTATATATGGTAGAGGTTACTAAGAAGAGTATTTTTGAGCACTTTATATTGGCTTTAAGGACTTTTGAATTAAAAATTGAATTAAATTCTTCTTATATAAGTAAAATCTTTTAATTTTTTTAAGTACTTGTAAAATACAACTTCACCTTCAATAGCCAAGTTCTTAGTGCATTTCCAAACAATATAATACATAATATGACATAAGTTATTTTTTAGAAATCTGACCCCAAGGCACAAAACCATGCCCATATAGTGATTTTGGAGTTCTTTTGTAGATTAAAGAGTGGATTTTGAGAGTAAACTAGAGGAATGATTTTTAGACATTGGTTTTATGTCATTTGAATAGATATTGAGATTTTAAGGGATTTTTAAAGTTAGTGATATTTTTCGTGGAATGAAAGTTTGAGAAATAAAAATATGTTTATAAATTTGAAGGTTTCTTGAATTTTGTGTTATAAGTGAAATTTGGACAATGTGTTGGTGTATTAGTTGTAAATATGTATATATATATATATAAATTTTGAGGTCAATTAAATGATTAGATTGAAGTGTATGAGGATTTTTATATATGGAGATCTTAAAAAGTGAGTGTTTTTAAGTTCTTCAGC